CGGAGAACCTGCATAATGTTCAGGAAAATGAGGGGAGAGGGGACACAACGATTACAAATGTGAATAGCAAACATTGCATGCTGCAGCAATGATTTAAAAATCAAAGCCCTGGAATAAATGCCACTTAATTTCCAAAAACATAGTTGAAGCCCCATTCTCTAATTGTTTGCATGTAATTGAATTTTTTTGTTTTACAACCGAAGTCTATCACATGCCTACAGTGAACCTAAAAATCACCTTTCTAGCATCTCTTCAAGGTGAAGTGCTCGAATATAATGGTCAAATGTCTTATCCTGTTGCTGAAGACGACGTTGTGTTTCCATTCGTTCCTTATCCAAACGTTGTCGCTGGAATTTTCAATATCACAAAGAAAGAACTCTGAGATTTTTGCCAATCCAAACCTGTTCTCTAAGCACAGCTTCGGGATCCATGTCTTTGAAAACTTGTTCTCCCTTTTCGCGAACAATCGCTTGGTAAATTGCCGTGTTTTGCATTCTGCGCAGCTGATCCTGCTTAATTTTTCTTTGCACCTCTTCCTGTTCGGCCAATCTTCTTCTTCGTTCACTTTCAATATTTTCCTGCTCAAGGCGTTTCATTTCTTCGGCACGTTTGGCTTCTTCACGTTTTGCTGCCTCAGCAGCGGCTTGCTGTGAGCGTTCAGCCTTCACACGCTCTGACGTCTCCTAAAGTGCAAAACAAATCCGATTACCTCGATAATTGGCATGCGAATTGCAAAATGCAAAACTGATTCTTTCTAAAATTTATTTTTACCGTGCAGTAAGGTCCTACTATCCTTCACACTTTATAAGCAAAAAAGTAGTTACTTTATAATATTCAATCTTTCGGCGACGTTCCAGGATGCGATCAGTCTCCTGCTTGCTGTTCTTTGTACGCTCATAGTTGATTGCGTGATGTTTAACCTTGAAGGAGATAACATGACTTTCTAAGAATATTGAGAGGAAAAACAATAGAAAATCAATAAACTCACTCGTGCGATAAGAGCTTCGGTGCGCTTGTCTCCATCAAGTAACTCTACAGTTGAGCGAAGTTTATTATACATGAGCTCCAAATGTGTGCGTATACCTTCGACACCTAGTTGCGTATCATCACCTTGAAGAGGCTGACATAAGCATAAAGTAGGAACTATTTCGAAATATAGAGATTGCCAAATTATAGAGCAGAGCTCCAACCAACTCAAATTTGCTTTAAAAGTCTGGAATCTTTGAAAAGAAGAATCACAGCTATGTATTCATTATAAACCTATTTAGGTAACAAATCTGATAAAAGGTAAAGCAATGTTTAACTAGGAATTTTCAGGGTTTGTGCGTATCGTTACTGGAAAACATACCCGTGAAGCCATCTGCCTCTTCTAAATCAACACCTCCAGCCAAAGTTACGTCTGCAGCGCCAAAGCGGATGCAACCACTGCGATGATCGATTTGAGCCTGCAATCAACTCTTGAAAAATGCAAAAAATCAATAAGCAAGCATTTAATATAGGTACCATTCACCTTAACAAATCGATGCTTGCTAACGTCCACGACAAGACGTTCAAGCTCCATTTCGTTGTAAAATGGTATAATTTTCTGCACTCGAGTCCAACTTATTGAATCATAAATCACCGATATCTAAAACATAAGATGCGATCAAACAGA